AAATATATTTAAAAAATCTCAAGAAAACACAAGGTAATCGGCCACTAGAATCTGAATAGGATTTATGAAGGTGGTGTTCTCGGCCGCGATGTAGGGTCATGTCTTGACTGTATAGGACCGCATCGCGGCTCTCGGCTAACGTCGTCTATGAATGTAGTCTTCAACTACAATACATTCTGTAATTCTGTTTCAGTATAAAGTCTCAGTATAAATATTCATAGTGCTTGTAACATACTTTTGTTGTCAAATATTTCGCAACTTCCTGGAATAAAAACACGTCTCCAAATACCGTTCCCTTCAACATTTGCAGATTTCTGATTTGTATACCTAATTACAATTAAAAAACCTATTCTGACTTTTGAATTTTGAGCACATATTATCAAAATATATTTCAAATACAATGACCTAGTTATATGAAAGTTTTGTTTGCCTATCGACACCCGCCGGCCGGCCAGCCAGCCAGGTCAGTATGAACGTTTTCTTCACGGAAACAGAAAATGTCGTCTATGGCGGCGACATAATAATCATCAAGCTTGAAGCGGAAATCACATATTTTCATGTTTAGTAACGGGAAGGGTAATACATTGCTTGGGAAAATTAAAAATTAAAACCAACACTACCTTGAACAAGCAGTATTCAGCCAGGTGTCTGCCAACCTGTCGCCTTCTCTACCCGGTAACACACACCTGTGTAGACACTGATCAAGAGGTATTTCCGTGACTGGTTGTTGCTTTTTGTTATTGCTTTTCTCCCGTGAGTACCTGGAAGATATGCCAGAATTCTTGACTGGGCTGCGATCTCTGCTGCGCCACACGCAAGCGCAATTGGTAGTATATGTATATCCTTGCATTGATCAACAAAGATGATTAACTTTTTAACTCGTTAATATTTCCATTTTCATTATTATGATAACAAATGAATGAATATATCTAACTTCGTCTGCCAGTGATACAAAATGTTAGAACTGACAAAAAAAATAGTCAATGTAGGCCTGTATATTTTTGTCTTATAATCCTAATGGATTTGTTATTATATTTTTATGCATGTTGAAATTTATAAAAAAAAGTACACGATCTGTTTTAGTGAATTTATAACATGACTGTAACATCTAGACATTTTATAGATTGCAAACGTGATTCATATTCACACACACGACCTAAGTGCGACCTTGTGTATGTCATCTGTCTCATCGAATAAATTAATGGTGAAAATAAATGAATTGGAATGATTCTGCTGAATGCTACAACAAAATGAATTAAAAATATAATACATAAATTGAATTAAAACCGACTAAAGTTAAAGCAATAATATCAGACTATTACCTTGTTCGAGGAATGCATCCATCAGTATCCACATAAAGGAACGATATCCCATTCATCTGCAGATGACAAAGAAACCTGTTCCATGCCATTTAACAGTCTCATATGAAAACAAAATGAAGATTCATTCATCGTCAGAGTGCTCATTTATTCCACTTCTCATGTCAGTTCATGTTCATGTCCCTCAAATTCATGGTTTCACAGAGTCAAGCTCATGACATACATATTCAATTTCATCATTCTCAATTTCTCATAAATCCTCTAGACGAATGAAATGATTGACTGTAAATAAAACAAAACATAGTAATAAGTACCTAAAGTATTACATGTCTAAGAAAATTACAGTCAATAAATGGAAAAAATAGATGAAATACATTTATTTTAACAGCTCAGAAATTATATGGAAAGTAACTTTAACATTAGAGAAAATAACTAAATGAACCTACACCCTAACCTTATAAAATACACTTTAAATTTACTCAATGAAGAAATTTAACCAGTGCATGAAAACTAAGTACATTTATCAAACATGGCAATAAAACATGGAAAATTTATAATAGTAATATTTTATGCATTACCATATCTCAAACACACAAATAAATTATATTAACAATGAAAATATCTACATACCATTTTGTTAGACCCCATTTGCTCAGCTTTCCATATCTCAAAAACAACATGTCTTCACTCAGACCACATGGCAATGAAAGTGACAAAGCAAGGAGTAACTTCCCTTAAATACAAGTTAGCATGCTCCTCACAGGGAACGAGTTAAGAGCTCTTGACAGGTGCCACTGACTGAAGTGCTAGTATAATCCCACTTTTGGCTCTTACATCCCAGCCCCCTAATTGCATAGATTAAATCGGAGCAATTACCAAATTCTGATAATATAACTTAACATGAAAATAAAATATATTACATTAAAAAAATGAGTGAGTGAGCCATGTCCCACGCCGCACCCAGCCACAAGGCTGCGGTCAGCAAACAACCAAGTCCGGATCAGACAACCCAGCGACCAACAGCAAGAGCATCGATCCACGCAATTCTAAACCAATGACAGGTGTCAAGCCAAGTCAGCGAGCCTGACCACCCGATCTCATCAGTCCCCCGATCAGCATAGTCGCCAGAGCAACAAGTACCATCTTTTATCAACTTCAGGTATGATGCACCACTCAAAAGTCAAACTAAATACCTTGTACATAATTTGATCCAAGAATATAAAAACAAAATTCCTTTTACAAACATGAGAAACACCAAATGATGTGATACCCTTGAGAAATAAAAATACCTTTTACTTATTACAAATGTCCTTTTAAAAACAAACACTGTTAACAATTTCTCACTTGGAGAAATGTATCAATTTCCATGACATACACCACATTTTAAGACTGACCGACTGAGTTCGGCTTCACGCCACCCTCAGCAACATTCCAGCAAAATCACGGCGGGGGACACCAGAAATGGGCCCCACACACCATACCCATGTGGGGATTCGAACCCGGGTCCTCGGCGCGACGAGCCAACGCCTTAACCACTAGGCCACCCCACCGACCCCACATTTTAAGACTTTCCCTCCTCACTTTCAAGGATCATACACAGCTTTGTTACTGGTCTCATCAAAGTTGTTGATTTGGTCTTAACCTGAACAGTTCGAACAAATCCTTTCCTATCTTTAAAGACCTCTGTTACTCTGCCCATGTTCCATGAATTTCTGGGCATATTGTCTGTCAACAGAACAATGTCTCCAACTTCTACATTTCTCCTCGGTTTTGTCCATTTTTTGTCTCAACTGGAGTAAAGGCAAATACTCCGTCACCCACCTTTTCCAGAATATGTTTGCCAAATATTGAACTTGGCGCCATCTTCTTACGGTGTAATTGTCCACTTTATTAAATATTCCTGGGGGCATGGTTTCACCTGGGCGGAGCAGTAATAGGTGGTTCGGAGTGAGCACACACAGGTCACTGGGTTCATTCGGTACTGCAGTGATTGGTCTGTTGTTAATAATCTCCTCCACCTCACAAAAGAGTGTCTGCAATCCCTCGTCATCCAAGTGAATTGTCTGTTGTCGTAAAAGCGCATACAACACCTTCCGCACCGTTCGTATCATCCGCTCCCACACCCCACCATGGTGCGATGCAGACGGAGGGTTAAACTGCCACGCTATTCCCTTTTGTTGAAGTGCCGCATTAATTTTCTGCTGATTCCATTTCATGATTTCTTCTCGTAACTCTCTTTCACATCCGACTAAGTTGGTTCCATTGTCAGATCTCATAGTTTTCACTGGGCCGCGTCTGGCGATAAACCGTCTTACCGCATTGATGCACGAACTGGTATCCAAGGATGCTGCAACCTCCAAATGAATTGCTCTTATGGAGAGACAAGTGAAAATAACTCCATACCTTTTCACTTCTTTTCTTCCCCTTTTGATGAGAATGGGCCCTAAGTAATCGACACCTACATTTGTGAAGGGTGGGTCATCTGAGGTCAAGCGATCTGATGGCAGGTCTGACATCTGCTGTTCCAAGGTGCTGGCACGATACTTGCGGCATTGTACACATCGTGATACGAGGCTTTTAATGCATGAAGTTGCTCCTATGATCCAATATCGCTGTCTGAGATTGGCCATCATAGAATTCTTTCCCAAATGTCCTACCTTCTGATGACAATCTCTCAGGATATGATTGTTGATTGCTGATTGTCGCGGCAGTATAACTGGGTGTTTCGCACTGTATGGAATGTCAGCCTTTTCTAGCCGTCCCCTTATCCTCAATATTCCAGCGCACATCATTGGCTCAAGTTTTCTCAATGATGAGCCTGGCTTCAAACCTTCTCCTTTGCTCAACTTCTCAATTTCGTCGTGAAAGTGTGCTTTCTGGACATGACGAATTATTGCTTTCTCTGCACTATTCAGAGTCTCTATTGTTATTTCTTTCTTTCGTGTCCTTTCACCTTTCCTTACACTTCTAAGATTCTCAATCACAAGCAGAATCCATCCAACTGCCCTCTTGAGTCTTGTCCAATCAGAGTAGTGCTCTATCAGCTTGTCCATGGCACATCGTGACTGCTTCTCGACGGCTACATTTACAGAATGTTTTACCTCCGGATCATCAGGCTGAAGCAAATTGACAGTGTCCGCTTCATCTATGTTCTTTGGCCATTTACGCTGTTCTTCTCCTAGGAATCTAGGTCCCTTGAACCAGATATCACATTTCTGCAATTTGTCAATGTTCATGCCTCTTGAGCAGGCATCGGCTGGGTTGATCTTACCAGCGACGTAATTCCATTGCTCCTTGTTTGTCGCTTCTCGAATCATGCCGACCCTGTTTGCCACAAAGGTATGAAACCGTGAAGTGTCATTCGAGATGTAACGCAGCACAGTCATGCTGTCCGTCCAGAAGAAAGTTTCTGTGATCTCATACTCAAGTTCTTCCAAAATCATTCTGCTCAACTTTACTGCTAGTGTCGCTGCCGTAAGTTCCATTCGGGGTATTGTCACTCTTTTGAGCGGCGCTACTCTTGATTTTCCCATGACGAAGGAAATGTGGATCTGATCATTCTCATCAATAAGTCGAATATAGGCTACAACTCCATAGCCCTGTTCGCAAGCATCTGAGAACATATGCAACTGACAGGCCGTCACTTGTCCAAAGTTTGCTGGCTTATAGCATCTCGGTAGCTCAATGTTTTTTCAACTTGCTCAATCCGTCTATCCACTGTTGCCATGTTTTCTGGTCACGGTATGAGATCTCTTGATCCCACCCAAGGTTTTCTTTACATAATTGCTGCAGAAGAATCTTCGCGACGAGAACATATGGCGAGGCATAACCCAGGGGATCATAGACTGAGCTAACAATACTTAGAATACCTCGTCTTGTCGGTGACTTGGCTTTCACTTGAATGTCGAATTTGAAACAGTCCTTTTGTACTGACCAGAGCACACCCAGTGCCCTTTCTTCTGGTAATTCTTCATTCTTCAAGTCCAGAGCCTTGACACTACCAGCCCGCTCGTTAACAGGAATGCTATGTATAACCGTAGGGCTATTGCTCACCCACTTGGTGACATGGAATCCTCCCTTAGCACACAATGCACTCACGTCATCAATGAGTTCCATCGCCTTGTTCTCATTCTCAACTGACTTCAAGCAGTCATCCACATAAAAGGATTTGTTGACAACTTCAGTAACACGTAGTGTAAACGTAGATCTATTATCCTTGGCGGTTTGACGTAAAGCAGCAGTTGCACAGCTGGGTGACGAGACAGCTCCAAACAGGTGTACACACATACGATACACTATGGGTTCAGTGCTCAAGTCTCCTTTCTCCCACCAGTAGAATCTGAGAAGGTCCCAGTCTTCTTTGGGTACCTGTACTTGGTAAAACATTGATTCAATGTCTCCCATTACTGCTACTGGCTCCTGTCTGAAGCGTAATAAGACTGCTATGAGGCGGTTTGTCAGATCTGGTCCCTGCAACAATAGGCTATTCAATGATACTCCCTGGTGCATGGCTGTGCAGTCAAACACGACGCGAATCTTGTTTGGTTTGTGGGGGTGATAGACCCCGTGATGAGGAATAAACCACACTCTCCCATCATCTCTCTCTAACTCATGGTCCGGTACTCTCTCAGCATACCCCTTAGCTACTATCTTGTCCATGAAGTCTCTGTAGTCCTTCAAGAAGTTACTATTCCTTTCCATCTTGTGTTTCAAATTCATCAGTCTTTTGAATGCTTGGCTGTGATTACTTGGCAGCTGTGTTATTTCTCTTCTCAATGGCAGTGCAATAGTGTAATGCCCACTTTCTAGTCTTATACTCTCCTCAACCTTTGTCAAGAACTTCTTGTCTTCATATGAAGGGTGCCTTTTGTCATCCATAAGACGTTCCGGAAAATCCAAGTTCATGGAATGTCTTACAAGCCGATCCAAAGTTCTCAGTTCCTCATTCTCTTCTAAAGCTCTAATCTCAACTCTATTTACTGTCATCATAGGCCCATCATGTATCTCATTTCTCACCAAATTCCAAATAACCCATCCTAGTCGTGTAAGTGTTGCATGTGGGCTGCCTGACGGTCCTGTTTTCACTTGTAGCGGTGAGTATGCGTCGGGCACATTGTTGCCTAATAGCAAGCCGATCTGTGTGTGTTGATCTCGGGTATCATTATCTCTGCCAAATGTGGCCACTGTGAAACGTCAGCCTGTGTTGGTATGTGGTGCTGTGAGACTGGCATCCTCTCCTTAGAATATACCTTAGGTAACTGTACCACATTCTCTCCACTCAAGTCACTCACCTCCAGGTCATTAACACAGTATGTTACCATGTTGTAAGGTTTTCCCATAGTCTGAAGCTCAATTTTCATTCTTTTCCCTTCACACCCCAGCTTGTTCTTCAGATTCTCAGATACAAATGATACGCTGCTTCCTGGATCCAAAAAATGCATATGTGCGAACAGCCTGACTACTGTTCTTCATCTTGACAAGCACCGGTACTATAGCTAGAGTGCAGTCTCCTTCTCCAGCCCCCATATGGTCCACTGTGTGTGACACGCAGACATTGGAGTCCTTCTCAACGTGTCTTCTATGATGATCCAAATATCTGGGTTCGACATAATGTAATACAGTTTGATGATTCAAGCCGCATTTTTCACACACAATCTTCATGTCACACTGATTACTCATGTGCCCCCTTGCGTAGACATCGGAAAGAGAGTCCTGCTGTCCTTAGAAAGTGAAGCTTATCTCCATGAGCAAGACTTAACCACTTCTTGCACATCTCTAGTCCATGACTCTCCAGCTTACAAAATATGCATGGGCAAAGTAATGATATGGCCTTTCCACTGCAACTTTGTATCTTTGGCTTAACTGTACTGCTCGTCCGCTCTTCCTGATGCATACTTGTTGCCATCACTTTCGGTTTAGGCTTGGGTTTCTCCAATGGTCTAGCTTGTTCACTAAGGGCTCTTCTCCCATAGATTGGGTCATTCACCTTCTTTGCCTCTTTTCTCACAAATTCCTTGAGAGCATAGAATGAGACTGAACGTCCTTGTGTCTTGTACTGTTGTACTACATTCCGCCATCTGTCATGATAGTGAAATGGAAGCTTCATGACCAATTTCTTCAGGTTGTCTGGAGAGTCCAAAATCTTCATGGCATCTATGCTCTGAATAGCATTCTCACATTCTGTCAGGAAAATAGCAAAATCATTCAAGGCTTTCGGATTTTCTGCTCTTATTGGTGGCCAACTCAAAGCTCGCTTCACGAAGGCTGTTGCAATGGTGTCTAAGCTCCCATATCTATCTTCAAACTCGTCCAATATGGCGCAATAGGCTTGTTGCCCCTCCAAGTAACTGTAACCTGCTACAATTCTGTTCGCCTCTGCTGACGTGTACTGATCAAGGTAATTGACTATCTCATCTACATCATCTGTATTGACAAGAATACAGCCTTTGAACTGTCTCATAAAGCGTCGATAGTCCAATGGGTCTCCATTGAAAGGCTTAATGTCGACCTGTGGTTTCTTCAGATGTCGCGTGACAAACCCATAATCATACATTGGTCCAAATTGAGGCATTTCTTTAGGTGTGTACTTGTCGATATCAACAGCTTTAACTTGATCTTGGTTCTTTTCCACATGAGACTTCATAGGTGAAGTTTTCACGGAATGCTTAGCTTGACTACCATCTGACAATTTCTCAAAGTCATCAATTACCTTTGTTTTTGCTTCTGCTATAGCAAGTTCAGTCCTTATTTCTAATTCCTTTTCCTCCATTTTCAACTTTAACTTGCTCATCTCAAGTTTCTCAACTTCTTTTAGGCTTGCAGCCTTTGCCTTCAATTCTGCTTTTTTCTGTTCTTCGAACAGTCGGGCTAATGAAGTTGAACTATGTCTGCTACCACCTGACTGCTTTGACCTTCCACTCTGCGACACACTATCATGTGCATGCACAACACTGGTACTGAACCAAGCCTCAATGTTCTGTTTGAAATCATATATGAATGGACTTTCCTCAATGTCTATTTCCTCATTATATTGTTTCTTTTCCTCTTCATCTAAGAGTGTTAGATACTCGTCTCTCAATGAATAGTGCTTGTCCAGTAATGATAGATATTTGGAATATTCTTGTCTCACTCTTTCTGCATCTGGGTTTTCAGATATGAGGACTTGAACACTATCTTGTTTAGTTTTCAGCTGCCTGTATGAATGCTTTAAGAGCTTAGCCTTTTGTTCCTTGCTATACAATAAACCCTTATCTGTCATTTTCCTCTTTCTTGATGAAACACTTCTGAACTGGGAATTGCTTTCAACTTCCTTACTACTCATCTAGGGTCAAAATGTCAATGAATGTGATAAACAAAATGAAGATTCATTCATCGTCAGAGTGCTCATTTATTCCACTTCTCATGTCAGTTCATGTTCATGTCCCTCAAATTCATGGTTTCACAGAGTCAAGCTCATGACATACATATTCAATTTCATCATTCTCAATTCTCATAAATCCTCTAGACGAATGAAATGATTGACTGTAAATAAAACAAAACATAGTAATAAGTACCTAAAGTATTACATGTCTAAGAAAATTACAGTCAATAAATGGAAAAAAATAGATGAAATACATTTATTTTAACAGCTCAGAAATTATATGGAAAGTAACTTTAACATTAGAGAAAATAACTAAATGAACCTACACCCTAACCTTATAAAATACACTTTAAATTTACTCAATGAAGAAATTTAACCAGTGCATGAAAACTAAGTACATTTATCAAACATGGCAATAAAACATGGAAAATTTATAATAGTAATATTTTATGCATTACCATATCTCAAACACACAAATAAATTATATTAACAATGAAAATATCTACATACCATTTTGTTAGACCCCATTTGCTCAGCTTTCCATATCTCAAAAACAACATGTCTTCACTCAGACCACATGGCAATGAAAGTGACAAAGCAAGGAGTAACTTCCCTTAAATACAAGTTAGCATGCTCCTCACAGGGAACGAGTTAAGAGCTCTTGACAGGTGCCACTGACTGAAGTGCTAGTATAATCCCACTTTTGGCTCTTACACCCGCCTTAGCAGTTAACAATGTGAAAACAATATTTATGGCCGCTGCTAGTTACTCTTGCATGATCTCGAATGATCTGTGTTAACATCTCTGCAATGGTGAATGGGGATATAATGATTGAGCTGACGACGACACCATGTTTCTTATGTATATCATTTCGATTTTACTGTGTCTTTTTGTGATTCAATAAAAAATGCTGAGCTGTTGGAAACATGTTTTCCTTAGACAGTTCATGAGGCTCATGATTTGTATGAAGTAAGTGGATCGTTTACTGCAAAATCACTAGGATCCAGTAGTTAACAGTGAGTATAGAGCAAGTCTGCTTTATCCGATTCATAAACTCACAAGAACGTTGAAAGTTCTATTAGCAAGGAAACGTAAATGATAACAACTGACACCAGCTGTAACACGGACAAACAAACAAACGTTGGGTAACAGTTGGGACACCTGCTTTTGAGAGAGTCAAGGACGCATTAGAGTGTTGAATCACTTTTATCAGGAGTTGGACGCAACATATGTCATATCAGGGATTACACTTTCTCAGTAAAGTACAGTACTAGTACTTTGGGGACGTTGAGTCCCATCCGGGATTCAAACCCACACTCTCACAGTCAGGCACCTGCATGCAAAGTCAGCGATCTAACCCACTGGTAGTCCAGATAACGTACTTTGTTTACCAAAGGGAAAAACAGGTTGAGGTTGCACAATATATTGGACTTTGAAAGCTGCTTATCAACTCGCATGGAGGTGACCCATATACTGCACTTAGCAAATTTGCATAGTCCCCTCCTAGTCATGTTCTTCGGCTGATTCAATTTAACGACTGAATTACTGTGGTTGCATCAGGCAGTACATTACAGTGTACACTTATAAACACTCGTGGGCACATATCATTTTGAAAACTACGTTTCGAGAAGTGGACAATGATAGAGGTATTCGCCTTCAGTCCTACAACTGTGTTGCTGTGTGTGGTTGTGTTAGTTTTGTTATGGGTGCTAACGCGGCGACCACCTGGGCTCCCTCCCGGTCCCCCTCTCCTCCCGTTTTTGGGGAATGTCCTCTCCATGGACTCCGATCCCCGGATAACGTTTAAGAAACTCAGGCAAAAATATGGGGACATCTTCAGTGTGTACCTGTTCAACAAGCCACTCATCGTCCTCAACGGTTACAGCACTCTGAAAGAAGCTATTGTCAAGAACGCCGACGTCTTTTCTGAGAGGCCTCACACCACACTAAATGACTTCATTACAAAAGGAAAAGGTAGGTGTCATGTCTTCTTACAGTGGAACATGAAACTGTCGCCCTCTATGATCTTCATCTGTGTTGTCCCACATCATATCACTACCTGTATTTTCACACACCATCTCAGCACCTGCGTTGTCCCGCATCACATTCTCACCTCTGTTCCTTCATACCACACGAGCATCTGCTTTGTCCCACATCACATTCTCGCCTCTGTTGCTTCATACCACATGAGCACCTGCTTTGTCCCATATCACATTCTCGCCTCTGTTGCTTCATACCACATGAGCATCTGCTTTGTCCCACATCACATTCTCGCCTCTGTTGCTTCATACCACATGAGCACCTGCTTTGTCCCATATCACATTCTCACCTCTGTTACTTCATACCACATGAGCACCTGCTTTATCCCACATCACATTCTCACCTCTGTTACTTCACACCACATGATCACCTGCTTTTGTCCCACATCACATTCTCACCTCTGTTGCTTCACACCTGCTGCTTTGTCCCACATCACATTCTCACCTCTGTTACTTCATACCACATGATCACCTGCTTTGTCCCACATCACATTCTCACCTCTGTTGCTTCATATCACATGAGCATATGCTTTGTCCCACATCACATTCTCACCTCTGTAGCTTCATACCACATGAGCTCCTACTTT